TCTATTTTTAATCATTGAATGTTACCGACTACTCACAAGTGAGTAGTATCTCACAACACTACTATCAACCCATCGTCGTCCCTATAGACTATTTTTTCTTCCAGTGAAAGGGAAATCATACTTTTACAGTTCAATTTCGGTCGATTAAAATTCTCCTCGCACGTTTTCCGATTAGCTCCGGTTGCTTTTATTACGGTTAACCAAAAGGCGAGCAGATCAATCGATTTCATTCATCGGGACCGGGGGATGAAGTAGCCAGCTTATAGACAACATTCATTGCATAAACTGTCCGCTCAAACCGGGTACATTCGTGCACGGGAATAGATGTGCTCCCTCTTGTTTTCCAAAGGCCTGAATTCCAGTCCCATCCCAGTGATTGTTGAGCCGGTTAGTGGGTGATCCGTACTCTCATCCAGTCATTGATAGGCTATCGTGAAGTATCATCTCTCAGCAAATCGTCCAGTTTATTCGACCACCTCATTGAAGACTCCATTAATCGAAGATTTGGGGGGGGGGATCTAACGTTTTGTACAGCCATCACGATCACATCAGAACTCTGTCGGAACCCTAACCAAGAGACTGGGCCACATAGGTCCCGTTAGGCTCCCTGTCCTGGGACCCTCAGATCATGGTCACCGATGGTTTAAGACACTGAGTAATATGGCTCGGTGTCGTAAATAGTGGCGCTCGTGCATCTACTCATTGTTTTCTTAACATCAGTCTATATGAATTCGCTATCTTCCTCTTAAATTTGCTCTCAACATGCAATTTTATCCAAATGTGCAACAAAAACCGGCGCACGAAAGTGCATGGTTAACGGTTGTAAAAACTAAACCGAACTCTTTGGGTGTAAAAAAAGCAACAAGATATTTTGTGTGTGTATGGTTTCAACCCATTTTGTAGACTTCATCACAAGCCCTCTTTCTCTCATATCCTTGTCCATTTTTATCTCTGGTGATTGCTCCAATCGCGGTGTCCACGTGTGTCTGTTGTCTGCATGAATTGACAACTATACAGAATGATTTTACGGTTCGCCGTGGAAAATAACGGTGTAGTCGTTTCCAACGACCAGTTCCGTCAATATCGAGATTTGGGCGATGAGTTCCGGGACGTGATCGACAATCGGTGAGTTCAGTTCTCCTATGCATTGTGGTTACAACACGCCTAATTGGTTACTAGTGGTTTTGTCGATTTTCACAATTCCAATTTCTCTTTGCTATCATCTTTGTTTCCCGGGTTTATGATGACATTAGATTGATGAACGCCATTCACTCGATCTTGCATTCCTTATTTTCAAAGCTCGATTTTCATGTGTCCACAAAGTGCTTTGCTAACCGAATCCGAACCAGAGATAGGCAGGAAACTACCACACTGTGTATACAATGCATGCTTACACTGTCTTCCATACGTCAACTCATTTAGCCGATCAAGTCCAATCAGTCTGTGAATGCGAATAAACACTCTTCTCGGTGTGATAACAGTGCCAGTACTCAGAGATAAGGGTTTAAAGTTCGCGCTTCGAGTCATGACCGGGACACAAAAAGTACGCACTACTGACGATTCCCGAACAGGACGAAACAGCTGTCCAGTGCTCTTTGTTGGTTATCACAAACAGTTCCGTCGCATGTAAATGTCAGTACATTTTTGGTTTCAGCCTATCGGCCTAGATTTGATCGCTGGTTCACCCCCACCCCAGTTCAATATTCTGTTTGGACCATTTTTGGGCTATAATACTTGATATACACATTTATCGGTATTTTCGCTCTGGAAACCCCAAAATACTTTCGTCTCAGTCACAGATACTGATTGCTCATATAAGCAAATTGCGCTTTCAGTGATCATTCAAATCAGATTCAAGTACGCTGCATGCGTCCAGAAAATAAATTTTCAATGAGTATTAAACTTATTTATGCGCAGACAACATTTTAAGTTGGTAGACAGCTTTGCTGTTGTCTGGTTCAATAACACGCCCGACCTAGCGGGGCCTTATGTGGTTCGCCACTTCAAGTACCACGGGGCTGAGGTTACCGGTTTCCATCACTAAACTGCAGGTCCTTGTGACTATGAGGTTCTCCCAGTCTTGTGTTCACCACACAAATGTGTATAATAAAACAATGTTGAAAACACAACTGAGTGGATTAATTCGCACAATAACATGAGTTTGAAGATGTCAATGGTAAATACGGAGGGGTGTGTGTGTGTGACCGCAACCAATCATAACGCCCATTTGGCTTCTGTGGTTATGGAAAAGCTTTTTAAAACAGGTGCAAGCATTTAATCAAAATAGTATTCCATTTATAGAATAAGAGTTTAGAATGGGAATAGAAAAACAACCTCGAAATCACAGAAGACGACTCTCTGTCATGGAATAAAGTCCATTGTGTCCTATGCAGAATAATGTTTGCCAATAGTTTCACATGCACTTTCGTGTGATACATTTACTTGCAGTCTCTTGGGTGCCCATTCAGATGGGGGAGCAAAGGAAAGAATGAAATTCCGGTTGTGAAAATAGGAGATTAATGAGGACTAGGACTGCAAGGTCGAGTAGATACACGTGCCCTGATGTGGACAACACACCTATGTCACTCAGTGTCTCTAACTGTCATTTACGCTGATTCGAGTTCCCCATCCAACAAGCCAAACGCGATCTGTGTGAGTAATTTTCTGGTTTGGTTTGGATGGCTTGCGGGCCGCTTAGAAACTTGATTCGTCCAGGAGTCCAGCTTGAACAATGAATTTTCCAGCAACTACCATGAAGTTCGTCGATCGGAAACTTCGCGGAGCAGTTCAGAAAGATCCTTGTAGAATTCACCCTTCATTTCAGGTGCACTGTAATCGATCGTGCATACCCGTACGCCTTTGACTCAATCACTCCCAAACATATCCAATCGGTCAAGATCGACCACACCATTCTCACTGTTTAGATAGATGTACCTGGCTTTACCGGATTCAAAATTTCCTTTATTTTTCCCGCCGAATTCAGTTTCAACTTGATCCATTTCTCCATAAGTGAGCTAGTATTACTTGAAAAGATAGAGCGAATAGTCTTTCGACTGAGGAAAACTTCTTCCTATTGCATCAACTGTCCAGCAAACCATGCGGCTTGCTTGTCCTGATCGTCACAATTTCTATCGCTCACCCGTTCCTGACGATTACTCGGAGAGTGATCGAAAGATCGAATTGAACGTCGTATGCACAAATATGCCGTGATGTCAAAATTGTGCGTTGTACAATAGCGGTTCCGGATGACGCCGAATCGGTGCGAACGTACAGATAAAGCATGGAGTGGTAATTGTCGGTAGATCGATTTGGCAACGGAACGACCAATGTCAAATGGTGAATCCCGATGGATTTGGTCCACAGATAGGCATTGCTCATCACTCCGCCGGGGAACTCACTGGCTGTATTATGCTTTTCAGTGTTATGTTGTGCGTCCCCTCGGAATGACAACATACATTGTTCACGAAATCGGATAAAAGCTAGATTCATTTGGATACGAAATTGAGGTTGATGCTTTGTCGGGGGGGGGGCGGAGAAATCCGAACTAAGTGTTACCAGAATTGGATAAGTTATGCTTCTCAGTAGACATCTACGTACAACTCAAGGCTAAATCCACGAACCACGTGCAGTATATGCTCAACTTAGGCGATAAGACTCATTCCGTTTCAACAAACCTGATTGGTTGATCACTGACCCTCAATGTCACATGTTCCATCAAGTAACCCTTCTGAACCTGGTAATTTGTTCAAATATTTATAATATAGACTGAATTGTATTTTTTTTATTGTTATTTGATCTCGCTCTGCTAAGGTCATCATCATCATCATCGTACAACGAAATACAGTGAAACGAACTGAAGTTCACCGATCGCTGCCAAACTCACAATACATACCAGATCAGTGAAAATGTGTATAGAGGATTGGGATTGGGCCTATTTTGAGGGAGTTGAAAACGCAATTCGTGACCGCGTCTGCATCTCCTTGAAATCTGATCATCTATGATATCAGAAATGGTATTGAGAGAACGGTTTGAACAAACCGAAAAGTTGGCTCATTCATCTATTCTTATCGGCAGCTTTAAAACCCCTCACGGATCACATGTAGTCAGTCTATCCCAAACTTGTTACAACTTATGGCTAGTATTATCATGGCAATTTCTTTTTCCCTTATTGACTGAATCAGGTTATTGCAATACACCATGGCTCTCAACACCTTCCTGATACCGGATGATCCTTTCGGACCCAATGGTCCCAGTTTGGATGAATGTTTACGCATTCCGAAGCCGACAGTCAAATGATCTGCACAGCATTACTCCTGCACCAATCAGAGGTGCAGCTCTTCCACCTATCTCTCTCTCAGCCTGGTTCACCGAAAGCTGCGTGTTTTTTGTTGTCTTTCGGTACTCTGATTTTGTGATGTTCATCTCGCGATCCACCCCGTTCCTGGATTTCTCATGGACTACCAGAGCGCACACCACTGGTAATCGTTTCGCCACTTCATCACCTATCAATGAACCTATTGGGATTTCATTCCCTCTTGGAGTGGCTCACGGTTTCCTGGCCAATTTTGATTCTATATGAGCGGCTTATTGAGAAAAACAACGCGTTCATCCGCAAACCGAGATTACCCTATCATTCTTGTAAATTCACTCACATTGGTTTCCCAGTTCAGTGACTGTATATTCGATATAAGTCGCCTACCCAATCATGTTATTTATTGCGGGCACAAAACAGTTGTTTTTTTAACTTGAGCTAAGTTGGTAAAACTATTACGTAACTGCACAGGCTTTGAAATGAATGAAATCTTTTTGCATGAGACACTTCGGTACTCTCCCATGCAATAGCTGGAAAAGTTGATTAAGCAACTGTACTAGTAGTGTAAATTGTGACGAACCAGAAATATTGTAGTGTATTCTGTGACTGTTGCAAACACTGAAGCAGACGCTTCATTTCGTAAGAGAACTGCACTCGCCAACCCTCGTTCGCATGATGGTAGATGGCTTAGTCGTCGTCCGGTTCGATACCACGCCTAAACTAACTTATCGGGGCCTTATGTGCTTCGCCACTTCAGGTCCTACGGGGCTTAGGTTACGGGTTCCCATGACGGAGCAGCAGCAGCAGCAAGTATTCGTGCCTATGGGGTTCAACCCGTCTGCTGTTTATCACACTAAGGTGTGTAATAAAAAAATGAAGCACGTTTCACGAACAGTACAGTAAGACGAGGAACACACGCTAGTAGAAACGACTGACTGAGAAGCACGAAGCTGTCTGATCTTTCGATTTTCTAGTGATAAGGCGCCGCAGTTTCGGATGTGGTTTGACCCATCAAATCAAGTCATTTTATTAGAAATGATTGTGATTTATTTTTATGCCTTCCGTCGGTAATGAGGAGCGCGAGAAACTAAATGAACAATCGAAACATTTGTTGGTAATTTTCTTTTCAAAAAATTGAAACATTTAGATCCCGTGATGAATTTGAACAGGCCAGTCAGAAGACAAACCGTGCGAGAGGAGTTCCTTTCTAAAACTCTCGTTGGTCGCTTACGTGTATCATTGAACAAGATAGACAAACGATCCCGCTTCCTGTTTCAAATGCAGTGAATCTAGTTAGTTTGTGTACTGTACGAATGGGGGAATATCTCAAGGGCATTTGGGGAAATGCCTATCCGGAATCTTTTGTTTGTTTTCATAATCGGACAAGAAATCAGACTTAAACATCTATCCATTGGGTGTCTAAAAAAGATATCCACATCTCATGTGAGTAATGGAGGATTTGGTTAAATTTCAAATTGGAATTCGTCGTGTATATAGCAAATGAAGCGTGAACTGAAAAGCTCGGAAGC